CCCCCTTCGCGTTTGATGGCCATCAGGTGGGCTGCGCAGCGTTCGCATACAAGACCATGCCCGCAGAAGAACCTGCATGGCCTCCATCTTAGCATGGGATTGGAAGATGCACTTGAGATCAGTAGGCCCACTTGAGGCCTTATGAAGAGCTTGTGCCCAGTAGCGAGTGGGATGAAGTAGAACCCCCCAAACGATTATATATATATATATTTAATTCATAATCATTTTTTTTCGATTCTATGTCCTGGCGCTTGAGGACATCCAGTGTGATGCAGACCATCAACGATTGGGAGGAAATCCCTGGAATCGACAAGGTCATCGAGCACGCCAAGAGACGCTCGGTCGCAGCATAGAGCTTGGACAACCGCCCTTTTCTGGTTCGCGAAGCTCGGAGTGGTCGCGGCGGCTCGCCCGCGTGGTCGCATCGGGCCCATCGGCAGATCAGTTGCTGTGGCGTCTCGGGCCCATGGGACAGGGGGTGTTTGAGGTGGGTAGAAAGGACGGGGTTGGGGTCATCCATCAGACAGGGTGTTTCGGGATCCCGACAGATGGGTGAAGAAGCATCGAACCGGTTGGGATGACGGGGACGTGGACAGCGTCACCCATGGTGATGGTTGGTGGATTCTGATGGAAAGCGTCACCCAGGGTGCGGCCGTCACCTACCATCACTTGGCCCACTAAGCCCTCGAGCTGAAGCAGCCCCTGCGGAACCTGAACGACTTGTTCTACGAGTCCCAGCCGGAGGAACTGCCATGGATCCGCACCGAGTGCGTGATCGACGTGGTTCAGGCGGGGTTTGGTGAGGAGGACCTTGGAGGGAGGAAACGCTAGACCCTGACTGAGCCAACCTGCGCAGGGCGCCGCCTATTTGGGGCAAGCAGTGGTCTTCCTGTACAAGGCCAGGTTGGACGATCAGGTGGTCTTGCACAAGTTGATCGCCCAAAATAGTTCTGGCTAAAGAATGCTAAATTAAGTGCAAAAATAGTCTAAAAGGGTATTCCCAAGTTGATTTCATCCAAGATGGTCTGATGCATTTCCGAGGCCATTGACTATGATGGACTCAAATGCCCCAACAACTCCCCAGTCGGCTGCGCTGCAAGTCACTTGGCTCTTATTCTGTATTTTTTAGAATATATAATATCTGGTTCAACCCGGAACCTTGCCGAAGTCTTGATTGAATTTGCAAGGTTCATTTTCTTCAATTGGACTCTTCCAGAATGCAAGAAAGACGAGTTCCAAATCCGTTGGGTTTGTTGGGTTTCATTTGACTTGCGCAACAAGAACTGAACTGTGGGGATTAGATTCGATGAGAAATGGATGGATCGATGTATGGAATGGAATGGAATAGGTGATAGGAACGGGATTGAGATCAATTCTAGCTGCCCTAAGAATCCGCTGCCGGGCACACCGTATGGCACCTGGGTCGGGCCTTCTCCACCTATTGGTTGCTGAAGGTGCCCGGATTCTTAAGGCGAACAGCCCCCCGGATGTCTGGATCAGTCTGTGAGTCTGTGCCTTCACAAGATCTGCACTTCTAAGACTTCTGTATCAATAGATTGGAGAACACGATGCCAAGTTCAGTCAGGACACGTCGCGAAGGTGGAGACCTTGTCTTGTCGCAAAACACTGGGTCAAGTCTGGGTGAGTCGGAGATGCAACTTCTTCGGTTCAGCAAGTTCGCTCTCATTCGCTGCTTCGTGCGCCGTGCGCAGTTTGAGCAAACGATTGGCACCGTTTTTCACTCGTTGGAAGTCCCGGCACCGCCGTTCGATTTGTTTCGACGCACCCTTGGGCTGTCCCGGAGTTGGGCCTCTTGGAGGTGTCGCGGGTTTCATCACCTCCATCACCTGGATCGCCTCGTACCTCTCCTTCGCGGCCAACGCCTGTGGTGCCGCCGTCAACTCGGGCGCCCTCTGCGCGGGAGACTGGACGGCCCTCATGGCGAACTTTGGTGAGATGGCGACCGCAGCTTGATCTGAAACCGTTGGTGGCAGCAGTCTTTGTCTGACTGCGACTCGTAGGGAATAAGGGAATGAGCTCCCAATAGAGACTCCTTTGGATCCAGCCACCCTCATTCCCTACTTGAGTCGCACAAGTCAGTTGTTGATCCAAAACGCTGTGGGTGTCCACCCCCCCGTTCCAATCGTGAAGTCCCTCTATCTTCGGGCCGTGCCCAAATTATATATATTGTTTTACTATGTTTGCTCTATTTCATTTTATATCTTTATGATAAGATTGTTAATTTTTATTTGGTGTTTCTGCGTTGTTTGTTTGTCACTTGATTTGTCATCAAACAAACACAAGGAATCTATACACTGCAAATAACAGCACCCATCAGCAAAGAAAAACACCCCACACCCAAAGACCAAACAACATATATACATAAAATTACAAACTAGATCATTAACACACACACACACACACGATAGCGAACATAACACAAACATGACAAAGACGACAACAAAAACGACTGCATGAAAACACAACTAAC